TAAGTAACATATAAACATAAATAATCGAAACACTTTAAAGTTTAAGCAAATCGCTGCTGGCGTGGGGACAAAGCAGTTGACAGCTTTCTACGCACTTTTTTTTTTCTTTCGCTTACTCTCGCTTTTACTGAGTGTGACGCGTCTTTTTATAAAGCAACTGAATTTACTTTTTATAAAAAAAGAACGTTATTATCCCCTCTCCAAAATTTTCACGCGTAAATCTTCGCTTCATCAACGCTTATAAATTTATTTGAGATTATGTTTCTAAAATAATTGTCATAAATATATGCGTACATAAGTTTTTATAAGAGTTTCAAATATATATTTCAAACATAAAACAATATTTTTGTAGATAAATGTGTATCAAAACTTAGGAGAAGGAAGAATAAGTTTGAAACGAGTTAATCATTTGTGTTAAATACTTATTTTTGTGAGTAAATTTATAGTATAAAGAAAATAACAGAAATTTTTGAAGAAATGCAATTTACATTCATACAAAATCGAAAAGACTATTTTTTTATTTGCATAAGTATTATATTTCTAAATATACCCATAAAGTACTTTTTCAAAACCAGCTTAAGGGGTTATATGGGTTTACGTTTTTCAAAAATCAATTTATTTTATTGTCTTATTAAATTCTACAACACCTCTAGAATATTGTCCTAAATTTTCAAGTTGATCTGAGTAATTGTTTCGGAGATACAGCCTTGTGAACTTATGCGCTCGAGGCTAGCTCGGCTAAGTGCGTTGTATTTAAACGCTTTTTACTCGAAACTGTATTTTTGAAGTCGGTCGGCAAGTTATCTCGAGAACTACCTAACCGAGCTTCATGAAATTTTACAAAGATATTTGAGATACAATTCTTAAAAACTTTGACGAAGGATTTTTTTTGATAACAACTATTTGAAAAAAAATGTCACGAAATTTTTACTTACATTTCCAATGTTCCCATGTAACTCCTTAATTTTTTTGAATAAACAATTTTTTTTTTTTTTTTTTTTGGTGATTAACCTTTCTTATTTCTCATTCAAAATGAGTCTGTTAATCTCTAAATTACATCCCTCAACAAGAAATCAAGCGTTCAAAGCTCAACAACACGAAGTATTCTCTCAAAATTTTACAAAAGATTGACGTGTTTATGTTCTGAAGTTTATACAACCACATTTGTATACAATTTTTTATTATTTTGCTATGCAAATCTGCCTTTTAATGTATTATCTTTCAAAAAATCTAATTAAAACTTTTATATTTTTTATAGATACAACAATTCAAATAAACGTGCTAAGTCAATTTAGTGGTTTTGTCAAAAGTACACAGCATTAAACAGAAGTAATGTCTTGCGACCACGATAAATAATTACATAGTTAGCACTATAATTGTGATGTAATCACGTTCAAGGTGTTCAAAGATTAATCGCCACGGAAAGTTCATGGTTTGCACTACGCAAGTATTTAGTTAAAGTACTAAATACTCATTAGTAAACAAGCATGTAAATATTTACAAGAGTAGTGATTACCGCTCGCTTGCTTTATTCGTTGAAAGAACGAATTGTAGAAGTCGTGAATACCCTTATCACACATACATAAAGTATATATCGTCAAAATAACGTAACATCACCTTGCATAAGTTGACAGCCGAAGGAAAAACGATATGATAGAGACTACTTGCTTATAAAATGCTTATGTATTGATTATGTCTGAATACGGCAGCTGAAAATTTTATGCGACATAGAAGGTATGCTCACAAGTAAAGGGGACTTTTTGAATTTAGAGCCCCCTAGTGGCGCTATCTATATGTCGACAACAGGTGCGTTAGAATCTGCTATCTCCATCGATTGTCCAGTGAGAATGACATGACATTTCATTTGCGTTTCAAGTGACAGTATGTTTGTGTTATCGGTGCGAAAGTGAGCTTCGAACAAGGAGTCAACATTAAATTTTGTTTTAAAATTGATAAAACTTTTACCGAAACGTTTCAATTGATGAAGCAAGTGTATGGCGATGATTGCCTAGCAGAGTGCACGAGTGGTTCCAATGTTTTAAAAGTGGTTGTGAGGACATAAATGACGATGAACATGCGGGTCAATCAAAATCCGTCATCCCCGAAAATTTCAGCGAAACTGTGCAAGAATTCATTAAAAATCAGACGAAATCATCATTAAAATTCATGAAAATGGAATTGGGCATCTCCAAAACATCGATTTATCGCATTTTGACCGAACATTTGGGCTTACGAAAAGTGTTTGCACGGTTTGTTCTGCACAAATTGACTGACGACCAAAAATTGCTCTGAATCCAATATTCGAACGACGATTATTTGACCAAAAATCACATTTTAACCATTAACCACTCCCCGTATTTACCTGATATGGCACCGTGCGACTGTATTGAAGCAAAAGAGACTATTTTAAATAAAATAAATTGATTTTGCCGAAAAAACCATTTTTTCTGTGTGTGTTTTTTTTTTAAGTATTCGTTACTTTGGAACACACCTTATATTTGTTCATATATAATATATGTAAGTACTTAATCATATGAACCTCATAAGAAAAGCTTTCATATGAATACTTTTTCAATCTCATTTACCCATCGCAATTATTACTCCCATTTTAAGTTTCACCCCTCTTCATTAATTGTCTGCTAAGCCACTGCAAAAGCATACAACTTAATACATTACAATTAATAAATGTTTTCCAAATTGACATTGCCGATATATGCCAAATCACCCACTTAAATTTACACGATCTCAATCTGCAAACCTTCAATAAAACAATATTTATGATCTTTCAATTGACTTAGTAACAGCAGTGATGATGTGTTATAACAAAGTAAAAGCTAAATGTACGAGTGCGTACATACTTATACAGGGTTTTACAATAAGACTGATATGATTTATTTCCACAAAAAAAGCAAAATAAGTGTTAAGAAAATTCTAATATTTTTTATCTAACGTGAAATACAATCGAGGCAATTAAGTTCTTAATATAACATCATTCAAACGAAGTCGACTGACTTCAATTGCAGGAACGAATTCGATTAACCCCATTTTCGTGTACTTTTTCCACTAAATCAAGCTGTATCTCATGAACAGCCCTTTCAATATGGACTTTTAAAGCTTGAAAAGAATCTAGTTTATTGCGAAGGACCAATGACTACAAATAACCTCACAAGAAGTAGTCTATTGGTGTTAAATCACAACTGGTTGGAGGCCATTCAATGTCACAATTTCTTAAAATTCGCCAAACTTGTCTTGCAATAATTCAACGGCTGCACGTGTTGTGTCTTATTGGACACAAATGTTATCAAGATCAACTCCTTCCAAATGCGGCCATACAAAGTTGCTTATCATCGATCTATACCGATCTCCATTGACAGTAACGGTGTCACGAGCTTATTTTCGAAAGTAGATCGGTCGGTTCTCCGATTCCACCCGACCAACAAACAGAAGTGTTACGAAAAGCAAATAGGCTACAAGTTGAAATTTTGACCTTTCTGTTTAATTACTCCCTGGAAGCTATCCTCCTGATCTAAATTGTATAATATTCTATAGAAAGGCATGTAGATACAATTCTCAGCTTTTCTAAAATAAAGTGAAGCGAGCAACGCCGAAACGTTTGAAAGTTACTACATCGAATTTGTATTGTTCGGCTAATAGCCATTTAAAAAAGAAAAGAACCTGAAAGAACAGCCAAAAATGTATGCCGAAGAATAGCTGACAGAATTCGTTATTATATATTTGTTTAAATAATTAGATTTAGTTAGTAGTCTTGGCTTAAAATAAGCGTCGTAATACTAATTTTGACCATATTTCTTAAAAAAACACCATCTTTGTAAAGTCTTTTAAAGTCTATTATGCAAGTGTTTCTAATAACTTGCTAAGCAGTATATGCATCATAGCGGAACATATAAATACATATTAATAACAGAGTTAGTTTACCTGTTTTAGAAACCAACAAAAAGCATGCAATTTCATTAGAATTTTCCAAGCAGAGAGCAACATTGGCGTAGATACTTTGATTAATAAAAAAAACTTGATTGTTTGTGATATTTTTTAATGCGTTGCGCTCTCGAATATCTTTACAGCAGGTGATGAATGATATGCATGATCATTTATACATATTTGCTTGTGTATATGTAAGCCATATGTGCTAACTGCACTACTCTTGAGCCATTCTCCCAAGATTCGCATGTCATGCGGATGCTCAACTCAACACCTAACACAAGATGTTAATGATTGCATAATTATTTATATTTCTAGTGTATGTGTGTGATAGTGAGTATGCAACCAGTTATTAATGCTTATTGATTGTATGAATTTTTATACCCTGAACAGGGTATCTTAAGTTAGCCAAGATATTTGAAATAGTCTGAAGGAAGCGTTGGGGACCATATAAAGTATAAATGATCAGCTGAGCTGTTTGAATCTAACTAATCGCTCAGTTCTGGAGATATTGACGTGAAATTTTGCAAGCGTTCTTTGCTCACCAAGAAGTTCCTGATTTGTCGAAATCGCCGATATGGGACCACTATAGCAGGTACTTCTCGTACAAACTGAACAATCAGAATCAAGTTCTTGTATGGGAAATTCTGTCATTTGACGAGATATCGTCAGGAAATTTGGCATGGCTCATTATCTAAGGCAATAACACAATCTCTAAAGAAAATATGCAGATCGGATCACTATAGCATATAGCTGCCATACAGACATTCGAACGTTGAGTTTTTTGCAAGGAAACGTTTACATTTGTGAAGGGTATAAAGCAAGCGAACTTAACCTTTTTTCTTGCTTTTTTGGCGTTTTTTTGCATGGCTCGAGTTTTGCCGAGTATTGAATATAGCTTATAGTATTGAATAGCTTAAATAAGTTGACTAATATTTGCTAAAACTCATGTTTACAATTTTTTGTGTGTCCAGCGGAAATATTTATTCTAATGTGCAATGTTCTTGAGGGCTAGTGTAGAAATAGCAGTTGCAAGCGCTGCAGATAATCATTGGTGGCAAAACGCGTAATTGAAAATGATGTGCTCCTAACGCGGATACCACGAGGAATACTACGAAAAAAGACGCTCTAGTGTTGGCAGAGAAAGAGTGAAACTAGTAAAGTAATTGAAAAAAAAGTATAATAAGAATTTCACAAACCAAAAATTGCACATTTTTTAACAAACAAAAAATTAAAAATATGCCGCTCGCGACTGTAAGTGCACCCGTTAATAAAATAATGCACAATAATTACTTTTTATCAAACTCTCTCTTAAATCAAGCGCCTGCTCTTCTTACTTGCCGCCTGCATACTAAATGTGGTCTTACAGCGCCTAACGGTCAACGCTGACACAAAAGTGCTAAACACACTCAGGTGATTGCGATTTCTTATGTACTTAAATTTAAGTGAAAGTGAGATTTACAAAATCTTTTTTTCAACAAGCAGCATACATCAGCCGGGCTACAGTAGCCGTCATGAGGTCATCACACTCGATAACGCCGGCACCGCTGATGAGGAGCTGGTGGTTAGAGGCAATTATACCGTTGAACTCGGCCCACCGAACAAGGACGGTCTCATATTTGTGGCTAACACAGAGTATACGGCCGATAAGAATGGATATCATGTGCATTATCGTATCGAGGCGAGACCGCTATTGGAAACCCGGTTGAGTGGCAGTGTGTTAATGACTGCAGCGGGCTAGAGAGTCAGGTGTTGTCGCAAAATGTTTGTGTGTTTGGAGATCCTTCGAAAGTGAAATTACTGTTTGAGTATTATTTTCTATATACTAGATGCCTAATTATGGTTATACATATGTATATGGTATTGCATATACTCATATTGCCTAAGTTATGAAGTTGCTTAAAACAAGTTGTAAGCTTAAATTAAGTGTAAAGAACATAAATACATTTTATATATACAAAAAATTATTGTTACAACTTTCAGTAGAGTTTAACCCGTCGACAATGATGCAGGGTCATATTGACCGAAACTATATTTTCATGTTTTTATGCATTATTTTACATGTTAACGACGACCCGCTGCGAGTTCCCTTTGGCAGAAACCATCTACTTGTCTTTGATAGAAAAACACAATAGCAACCTCAAATCAAAGAATACTTATTACAAACTGTATATTTATTGAGTGAGAAGAAATATAAATCGTCACCTAAAATGCAAAACAATGCTTCAGGGTGGAGCCTGCTTTAGAAGCTTCAAATAAGCGTTTTTTTTCTGTTTTTTGTTTTTTTGCTTAAATGTCTTTAAAAATAATCTAAGAATATGTGGTCAAAGTTATAGATGGGAATTCGAAGTATTTTCGAAGCTAAAAGGGAAATAGTGACCGAGCAACTAGCAGATATATTAGTGTTTGAGCAGAAAGCGAACACTTTGAATCGCGATTTCTCGATTCTCGAGAATTCTTTTAGTTTAGAAGATAAATTATTAAAAAATTTGAGTCTCTTTGAATTGTCTCTTTCCGATAGAAGTTGCGACCTGCATCCTGCCCACCGTCCGACAATCGAGATGCATCGATTAATTGCTTCCCAAAGGCAGAATATAAAAGATTTCGCATCAAAAAAATTTGTGAATGATGTTTAAATATATATACCCTATACCCTATAAACCCTAGAAATTTTAATCAATTATTTCTTTGGTTGCCAAAAAAACCGATTTTTTTAAGCCTCTAAAGCGAGTACCCCCCCTTAGTCAAAACACATTATGTTACATATCGGTAGCATGAAATTTTCAGCTTTGACTGAAACCAATATATAACCAAAATATAACCAATATATAAGCAATACACAACCATTTTATAACCAAAAATGAAATTTTTTTTCAATATGAGTGTTGTCGATTATAATTTTCCTTCGCCTGTAAACTATCGAAAACTTGTGCTACGTTATTTTGCAGTTTATAAAATATTTCTATAACCTCTGAAGTGTTTCTAATTACTTGTCAACTGGCGTAGGCATCAACACGTGACTTATTTTGAAAACAGAAAATAAATACGCATTTAAGATACTAACAAGTAATTTAGAATTTGCATAACAAGACGAATTTAAGAGAGAAGTTAAAATATATAATGCCGAGTGCATTGCAGAAGTATTTTCTCACCATGTAATGATATGCTTGATTATTTGCGTCCAGCGGAAATAGTGTTTGTAATGCGCAATGTTCTGGATGGCTAGTGTAGTTGCTGGCGCTGCAGTGAATCAAACGTGGCAAAACGCCATAGTGGAACACGTGTTCTTCTAGTGCTATTACTAATAATACAATGAAAAAAAGTATCCGCTAGTGTGAAAAATAAAATTAAGAACATGTCTTTTGTCAACGTAAGTGCATACCGTTATAAAAAAAATTATAAATTTTAACTCAAAATTTATTTCTTTCCAATTCTCTTAAATAGCGCTTGCTGCTCTCCGGCATGCTAGGTGTGGTCTTACAATGCTTAATGGTCAACACTGACAAAGAAGTGTTGCACATACTCACGTGATTTCAATTTGCCATTAAAACACTTTCTATTGCATAAGTGATCAAATTTTTTATTTTTTTCTTTCAATTGTGCAGTTTAAATCTGCCGGGCTACAATAGCTATAATGAGATGATCACACTCGAGAATGGGGAGTTGGTGGTTGGTGGCAATTGGACTGTTGAACTCGGTCCACCAAACCAGGAGGGTCTAATAACTATAGCCATAACAGAGTATACTATCGATAAGAATGGATATCACTCGCAATATCGTACCGACGAAGTACCCATGGTGGAAAAACGGTTAAGTGAGGGTTTTTTAAAGTCGGCAGCGGGCTAAAAGGTCGAATGTTCTTGAAATATATGTATGTGTTTGAAAGCATTGTGAAATAATAAAATCAAATCAAATTAGTTTTTGATTATTATTTATCTTAATTTTTTTAATGCTTGCAATGCAATGGATACACTTATAGTCTAAGTTGTGAAGTCGCTTAAAACAAGTTGAAAGCTAAAATTTAGTGTAGGATCTTTAAAAATATTGTATATGCTTCCATAACCAAAAAAAAAACAAAAAAAAAGTTTTGTAATTTTCGTTTCAATTCACCCATCGCCAACGAGACAGTGTCATATTGACGGAACATTATTTTCATGTTTTTAGAAAATATTTTACAAATTATCGACGGTACGCTTTTGTGCGACTTTGAGGCTTTTTGGGTTAGAGTAGAACGCAAGAGATCTGCGAGATCTCTCTGGGCTAGAGTAGAATGCAGACAATCTGCTAAACTAGTTGATCTGAGCAAAATGCATCTTCCGCAATCGTAAGAATTCTTACTGAACGTTGTTCAATCGGTACTTCTGTAGTAAGGCTAAAAATCTTCTCCGTTGTCAAAGTTTTATGGAAGCACGTGAAGTGGAAACATCCAGACACTTTCTGCACCACTGTCCAGTCTTTGCTAGACTGAGGTTGAAATACCTCAGCAGTCTTACCTTCGGCGTACTGAGAGACCTAGCCGAAGTTGCCGCTAAAAAAAATTGTGAACTTGTAAAACTAATCGATATATGGTAGTTATAGACTCAAAGCGTTTCGTCGATTTGTGAGGATCTTATAATCAATTATATAAGAATTTCAGGAAGCACAACGAACCGACGTTCTATACTGTCCAAAAGAGGTCAATGTTAGGACCGACTTTTTAATCTAACCTAACACAATGTAGAAAACGTATATGTTATAGCAATATGTATAAGCAATATTTTGATATTAGTTAAAACCTAAAACGGACCGTTAAAAAATTAAAAACCCGTTATAATATAATAAACATAAAAAATAGATTTCTTTAAGGTTAACTGATCATTCAATATTAATCATCGAAGTCAAGTTTCGAACTTCACGGCTTATATAAGTAGAAACGTTTACAAAAAAAAAAATCTAAAAAAAAAAGACAAACAATTACCAAGCGTGTCTGATTTTTACCTCAACATCGTACCTTTTTCCAATATGTAGTAACAGTATTTATGAGCATCTTTTTGTCGGTATAATTTGCGTTTATTTAAAACTCAAACTAGTTAGTATTGGGTTAATCGCACTTCAATCAATCTTTGTACGAAGGGAATCACAATCATTTGGTTAATTTCTGATTTGTCCTTGAATGTCATAATTTTCAGGTAAGTACTAGTACTTAAATACATACATACACAATTATGGCTGCTCGTAAAACGAAGTTATGAAAAAACTCAAAATAATTGCATGTTCGACAACATGAAAATTTACAAACGAAATTATAAAGCTTGAGCCACAACATTAACACGCAATATACTTGCATACAACAGTGTGTCCCCGCTTAATGGTACCTCAAAAGAATAAAATTCCGATTCACCGAGCTCTTGTATGAAATTTTTTTTTTTACAAGATATCTTAATAAAACTGGCGTGGACTATTATCCAAGGGAAGGTTATAATCTGTGAGCAAATTGTCCAGATCGGATCGCTATAGCATATAGCTGCCATCTAAATTAATGATCGATCAAAATCACGGTGAGTGTGAGGATATTTGTGTACCCTTTTATGCAACAACAATTGTGTTTTTCTTTTTTTCTAATATTTTTAAATTTTCAAAATAAAATTACATACTAGTAAGAGCAGCGATATTAATATCTATTTTAATTATAGATTTTAAACAATTTTTCGGAAAAACTACGAACCTGTTTTGTATCCGGTATTTTTTAATGGACAGACGCCATTAAGCGGGCAATACTGTGTATATGTATGTATAGAAATACGTACATATATAGGAAGCTTTCAATATATTTATATGCACGACGGTTACGAATGAATATGAATGAATGAATATTTGGAAAGTACACACAGCAATACATACATACATAGTTTTATAACAAATTCGAATGCAGCCACATAAAGACGAAATTTGTGAATGCAATTAGCAGACATATGTATATGTAGATATAAAATGCTAGTAACTTTTGCTCGTATATTTTTAATGACAGTCGAGCACGTGAGCATCCGCAAAATAAATATGTTAAAGAAATCACAAGTAATTTGATAAAAGTTTTAGCGTGTTTTGCACCTAGTGCCACTGCCAGCCAAAAAGTGGCCGAAATTAAATGAATTTTGGATTAAAATTTTCAAAAGCCAGGAAGGCTAAGTGGAAGTAAAAATAAAATAAATTTAAAAAATATTAAAAATTAAAAAAACACAAATTA